ACCCATACACACCTTTTCACACACACACTTCACCTATAGCGCATGTCTTTGGACTGTGGAGGAAACCAGAGCACCTGGAGGAAACCCACGCCAACATGGTGAGAACATGCAAACTCTACACAGAAATGCCAAATGACCCAGCCAGGACTCGAATCAACCTTGCTGTGAGGCGAACGTGCTACCCACTGCACCACAGTGGCGCCCATATAGAAACATTAAGTGTATAAAAAAAAATTGTACTCTGAATTGAATTTTCTGAATTCATACTACAAAAACAGCACTTTAAGAGTAAAAACAACAACAATAAAAAGAAATAGAGACAAAACAAAAAGTACTTTTGTAGATACTGATATTTTTAGGGAAATTGTTTATTTAAGGCTTGACTGAAAGACTGACCACTGATACTTATGGACTGATTATGATTTTAGCTATAGCATGAAAAAGCTGATTAATTAATTAACTGACGGTTTATTGATTACATGTGTGCAGCCACTGACTTAAATAATATCTGATGCATAATCCAGCATTTTTTTATGGGCAAAATAAAAGTTGGCCAAATCAAAATGAAGTGCAAAAAGACAATAATAATAGCAATGATAATGACAGCAACAATGATATTACATCTGATCAATTCTATAAATTGTTAAATAAACCCATATTCAGTGGTAATCATTTCATAGTGCAGTAATAGTGAGAATACTTTATAATGATTGTGAACTTAAAAAACAAGATAAAAAAAACATGATCTAATGTAATGACAAAAGTTCAGTATTGTACCGATATATGAAAAAGCCAAAAGTGGTATAATAAAATTCTGATCTAAATCATGAATCTCTAGACAGCTTGGCTAAAACACGACTAAACTTGGGCTGTCAGTAAAAATCTAATAGACATCTAAGAATAGCCAAAACTAGACTAGTGGTCAAATAGACAGATTAGACAGACTTTTTATGTGTAGTCATTCATTTCTATTTTTTCTGTTCATTTGATAACTCTAATTTTGGCTTATTCTTTGATGTCTATTAGATTTTTACTGACAGCCCAAATTTAGCTTTGTTTTAGCAAAGACTACTATGTTTAGACATCTATTAGACATCTTTAAAAAAAAATGCTTGCTGAAAAGCTCTAAACATATCCATCACACATGTGCAAAACAGATCAAAATAATAAAAAAAAAATTGGTTCATTTATAAGGCTTTTTAACCAGCGATCTCCAATAAAATATCCTCACTAACCAAGTGTCATGATATTTCACTATATTAGTGAAGATATTTGAGCCCTCACATTTATAGCTAAACCTGTACAAAAAAAATGACCCACTGATCTAAAATCACTTCAGTATAGCTACTGTAGTTAGTACTTCTCAAACTAACTTCTTGTGATGAAACAACATTCTTGCACAGCTGTGACAGACTTATAACAACATCAAGTGTGTAAAGTGCTAGTCAGATCCCTAGATCAGCTCTCTTCAAACAATACTACATTCAGCTTGACCAGATTAAGACTTGCATCTCTGTTGAAGTTCTCCTCTATCAGCGCTGGTACATTCAGTCCAGGCTGGCTAACACAGTGTATCATTGAGAAACCTTTCTGTCACGAAAGCCCTCAGATGTCCAATTCAAGCCCCTGAGCAGTGGATGAGTGCTCAGTCTCATCCTTTCATCCTGCTTGCTTTCATCTGTCTGTCTGACAGACAGCAACATCGCGCCACAAAAGATGACTGTACGTTTGGCTGTGTGTCAGTTGACGAGCCCTGGAACCGATTGTGACACGCTTCTGCCCAGGATAAAACTTCATGCTAAGTGCATTGACAAAACCAGAAACTGCTCTTAAAGGGAAGATTTGATTATGTTTTTTTTAGTTACTCACTGATCTTTAATTTCACAGATATGCCAGCAACTAATCATGTCAACATCGTGCACAATTGATAAAGTTAAAATAGAACCAGTCCTTTGTAGGGCACTCATTGTAATACTCATTGGAAAAATGCTGGGGGGTTGGAATATATGATTTTTCCCCCAATGAAAGGTTATATTTAAGTGAATTTGTTTAGCTGACATTTCTATCATATAGAACATAGAGTAATGCTATAACAGGAAAGAACAGTGCTGCAGTTTGTTTGTGGAATCTTTGATGAATACCTGTAGAAATGCAGAAAAAACAGTATGTATTCAAATATACATTCTGCAAGAATTAAACATTTTATTGCTGCTTGTGAACAATTAAATGCATGATTTATTAATGAATGTGTTAATAAATGTATGTATGTAGGTATGTATGTATGTATGTATGTATGTATGTATGTATGTATGTATGTATGTATGTATGAAAATATATATATGTATATATATATATATATATATATATATATATATATATATATATATATATATATATATATATATATATATATATATATAGCGTTTTTGTATGCAAATAATATTTTGTGTGAAATCTTGTAAGTTAATATATGATCAGTGTATTGTGCTTATATAAGTTATTTGGTGTAAAGGAATGGTCTTAATATATAGATTAGATTAGATTAGATTAGATTAGATTAGATTAGATTAGATTAGATTAGATTAGATTAGATTAGATTAGATTAGATTAGGTTAGGTTAGGTTAGGTTAGGTTAAGTTAGGTTAAGTTAGGTTAAGTTAGGTTAAGTTAGGTTAGGTTAGGTCACTATTTATACCCGAAAGTAAATTTGTTTTGCAGTCAAGAGTCCTCATTTCCAGTTGCGGTTCTAATTTAAATGGCACCCTGGGTGAACCACCACATATGGATGCCCTTCCAGCCACAAGCCATTATTGGCTAATACACCGCCCAATATTATTATTAATATACATTTATTATTCTAAATAAATAACAGAAATCAATCCTAAATGTAACTGGAAATAATGTAAAGAAAGACACAACTGAAGTGATTAAAGATCACTTAAGAAATCTTTTGCATAAATATTAATGACAATTCTATAGAATAAAAAAAATACATATGTTTTATGGAATTATCTGTTGTCTTTGACCTGACTTATGGCCGAGAAAGTCTTACCTCCCTGACTCATTAATCCCTCATTTCTGCTTCATAGTCATGCTTAGTCAAAATAAGATCATCATCATATGACTTTATTTTTGTCGATTGCAAGATTGTTGCAAATCTCGCTGCGTGCTGACACCTCTTCATAAAAGTTACTCCAGTTTCTCCGGTTTCACAGCACATAAACGCACATATTTTATCTGCGTGACTGTAAACAACCGAGATTCATACAGAAAGCAGAGCAGTGCGGGAATCGTTAAATGCATGTATGCGTCAGTTTGATTTTATTAGCCTTGTTTCGGTTGCACATAGAGAGTAACAAGCTAAAAGAGTAAAATACGCAAAATGTGAATGCCCCATTACATCTTTATTCTGGGATTAACACTCTAAATCAATATACTTGCATAAAGTAAAAGGTGTCTTAAAAGCTTTTACTTTCCCTGTCACCGTCTCCCAGTGCCGTCCCCCATGCCTAAATCCGCCACTCCTCTTTTTATAACAGTGCCACACAAAAAACTCACATACTGTAGTGAAAGCAACACATGGACATAAAGACATAAAACTTAAAAATACAAAACACTCTCTTCAAAAAAATTAAATAAATATAAATAAATCATTTTTTCAAGTGTCCAGCACCCCCCCCTCCCCCAAATAAAGTGTTTAAAATCTATGAAATATAAAATATACAAGTTTCAGATGCACCTCTACTTTAGTCTGTGCCTTATTTAAATTTCTAATGGCTGTTGAAACTTTTTTCGTATCGTTTAGTTCTACGGCTTGATACTAAAAACCTGCGACAAGAAGAAAGAAGCTGAATCTGTGAGTGTAGGGGATGAGCAGTGTCCAACCAAGGCTCATTCTGATTACGTACCCCTTAATATACATTCCTAAAAAGAGCAACATATGTCCCAGGAGTTACGTTTTTTGCCTTATTTGTTTTCGTGAAATTTTCTCTAGCTGCCTGGTGAATACAGCCTGCAGATTGGCTAGTGACACCCCAGTCAGCTTGCTTTGATCACTTAACTAACTGATTTAATGTTTTGAAATGTCTTCAAACAGAAAACAGGAATTACAAAATGTTTATTATTATTTCAGCATAATAAGCTTCATCTGTCGATGTTTTACACATATACAGTTGAGGGCAAAATTATTCGCCATCTTATGAAATATTTATTCTTTTTCCAGATTTTTCAAGTGAAATTTAATGAATTAAAGACATTTTTACTGTATTTCCTGTGTTTTTTCTTCCGGAGGAAGTCTTATTTGTATTATTTCAGCTAGAACTAAAGCAATTTTTTTATTTTTTAAAACATTTTAAGTCAATATTATTAGCCCCTTAAGCATTTTTTTGGCTAAAGAATAAACTATTGTCATGACTTACCACTTTTCCTATATATATATATATATATATATATATATATATATATATATATATATATATATATATATATATATATATATATATATATATATATATATATATTGTATTAAAATAAACCATATGGGTTTTTATTTATCTATTTATTTAAATTTTTTTTTTTTTTGGAAAACCCTATAAGATATTTTTTTATGCAATACTATATTTGTGAAAAAGCACAAAACCACTAAGTATTAAAACTTATATGGAGGTAAAAATGCAAATAAATAAATAAAAACCTGTAACAGTGACATTGATATAAGTCAACAGGTAATATCAGATTTTTTCTTCTAAAGGGTAACAGACTAAAGCAACTGACAGCTGATAAGAACTGAATAATTAACAGTCACGGAAGTTGTTAAACAAAGAGCTGCATAATTAGAAAAACAGACAATGGACTTGTGAATACATAAACAATAATTTCCACAGTGAAATGTGTATCTTAGGGAAAAAAGGAACCAATTAAATATGATACGTGAACGTGATAAACAAGCACAGCATAAAAAACGTCAATAAAAAAAATCAGGTAAACGAACAGGCAGATACCTCTGTGGGCCAGTTTCTGAAGAACACTTCGCAAACGCTGCACCGCTGCTGGAGACACATCGAAAGAGCTCACATCTGACCCTGGATACCTCAGACACTGACCAAACACCGCATCTGCAGAGCAAATGCATAATATACATATTGTGAAAATATCAAACAATCAGATAACAATCATTCTATCAGAATGACAATATATAATTAATGATTCGATAAAAGAAAAATAATTAACTTGACTATAAGTTGCACATGAATAATAAAATAAAATAAAATAAAATAAAATAAAATAAAATAAAATAAAATAAAATAAAATAAAATAAAATAAATAAAATAAAATAAAATAAAATAAAATATACTTTATACATTAATTTAAAAAGCCTACAAGATCCAATAGAACTGTTGCAACATCTTCAAGTTTAAATCTTTAATTTAAATGCAAACTGCATTAAAGTTTTAGGTATTTGAGTAAAAATACAGTAAAGTAAGAATGCTTTTAAAAATAAAGTCATAAATACATTTTATTTATAATTTTACTTCTATTAACTTAATTAAATCAACATTGCTGTATACATAAAACTGCTTTTGTCCTAAGGCGCAGTTGCATATAATATTTTTAAGAAATCTTTCCAGGTAGCTTTGCAGGCAGAATTCTTGAAGAGATTTTGTTCTGTTTCTTGATAATGAGGGTGAAATCAGATCTCTGAGCTGCTGTCAGACTCATTTTGCAAACCCAAATATTACTGGATTATAATGATTGGAAAAAATAAATGATTGGAAATGTGAACTGACTCATAAAAACCACACAGTTTTACACATTTCACCATGGTACTGTAATGATATGCATTTACCTAATTTAAATGTAATAAATGTAAACATTTATAAAAATTTCTAAAATAAAATAAAAAATTATACAAGGATGACAATGTTTATTAAAAATAAATATCAATTTGTTGTACTAAACATAAAGATACACCTGTGTGTGTCCTTAAAATAAGGGAACAACAAGCACTTTCATTATTTGATATCTTCCATCAGAACTAAAAAATTAATTTCTCTGTATAAATGTTTGCTAGCAAAAGAGTGTCCAAAATTTTTTTAAGAAATGCTCATCTGCTTGACATGATAGACACTATAAAAGTTTACATTAATAATTAACTGTCTGGTTTGTGCTACACAACTTTCACTCTACCTTAGAAATCTGCCTTAAACTTGAGATTTATTATTTATTGTGATAATTATCTACATCGACTGATATTAATTCATTTATTCTGTCCATATCAACAAACTCTTTGAAATATACTTTCTTTTTCTGTACAGACAGTATTGTAGGTTATCAGACATGCCATATGTCAAAATTGTGACCAGATTTTATTACAATATGCTTTAAAACCAAATATTTGAAACTTGTATTTAATAATTGACTGATTTCAACAGCTCACATATTTTTTCTTTAGACTATATTCGAAAATTACCCATTCCTCTATAAGTAACAGATAAGACAACATAGCTCTGCTTATAAACAAATAAATATATTATATTTTAAACATGTATTGAACATTCCGTAATGTATGGTACTTGATATCATGTACATGGCTTCCTGCATAATATCCTGAACCTATAATAGTCTGTCTTTTTTATAGCAGTCTTGTTCATGTATTTCACGATTGTGACCATTATGACAGAAAACCTGCCTGTCCGTGTTGGGCTTGAGGGAAAAGCAGAACTGTTAATGTCCACCGGCCGTCAGTTTATTTTGTGTGGCTGAAGTTTCTGCTAGGGGTCATAATAGCCGCAGGGGTTTAGGGTTTTTTCTTTCTTTCTTTCTTTTTTTGACACTTTCAAGATAAGCACACAGGCCATCAGGAAACGCACCTATATATACACACACACACACACACACTATCTGGCCCCTTGTTTATCTCTCCATCACCAGGGACCTGGTGCCACTCAATAGTCCGTTGCCATGGCAACCCAAAGCATGGCTCAGATTGGCTTCATAATTCAATGGCTATCTGGGCGAGCAGGGAGGATGCAGGGTATAGCAGCTCCCCACCACGAATACTAATGACCACAAGTGTTCCTGCACCATCTAGGAGCATTTTTCAGCTATTTTGCGTAAGTGCTGATCACATGCGGCATGACATGAGCGGCTCTATCAGAGTAAGGCTGTACACAGGTCAATTAGATACAACAGGGGCTTGAATATATAGTTGAAGTCAGAATTATTAGCCCCTTCTGAATTATTAGTTTTCACTGTTTATTTTTTCTCAATTTCTGTTTAACGGAGAGAAGATTTTTTCAGCACATTTCTAAACATAATAGAAATTTATTAACTCATTTCTAATAACTGATTTATTTTATCTTTGCCATGATGACAGAACATAATATTTGGCTAGATATTTTTTTCAAGACACTTCTGTACAGCTTAAAGTGACATTTAACTTAACTAGGTTAATTAGGTTAACTAGGCAGATAGGGTAATTAGGTTATTGTATAACGATGGTTTGTTACTATCTATTGAAAAATATATAGTTTAAGGGGGCTAATAATTCTGTCTTTAAAATGGCTTTTAAAAATGTAAAACTGCTTTTATTCTATATATATCTAAATCTGATTGGGTGATAGCTGTGTGATATTTTGCAAATAACAGCACTTCTACAGCCTCTCCACCTTTCACCCTTGTGTATTACTCTGCCCACATACAGAGACAAGCAGGAGATGCTTTGGACAACATAATGTACTTTGGGGCTTTTTTAGTCGAGAATGTATTTGTTTAGATTGCAACTATGCAGTTTATTTATAAGGATAGTGCCTGTTGTAAAATATTTATAATTCATGAGCATCGTGTTTTGCCACAAGATGGCAACAGAGACTGCATATTAAGTCCTTAGGAGAGAAAAACAGCACTCTCAACGTAAGCTTCAACCTACAGCTGAACATATCATTATAAATCAGGTAAGTGACATGAGTCGATCGCTCTCTTTTGAATTTTGTAGTGCTGTATTTATATCACAGAAACTGGTAGTGTTTGCTTTGCTCTGGCTTTTTCAGGGTTAATTATTGCAACAGAGAAATACTGGGAAATCTCTGTAGACTGATGGCATTTCATGCCGTTCAGCCTTATAATCTTAAAATGTGAGTAAAATCATCTGTTTAGTCATCACTTTAGACATTACACAAGAGAATCATTCAAATGCTAGCTCTAAAGTGATGTTCATGAGATAGCAACGGTTTCTGCTGTTCTGACAGAGAGTGACGGAAGAAAGTAGTCCTCGTACAAAGGGTTTTGGAGATTCTCTGTGTTTGATTTTCTTTTTTATATACATGATTATGCCTGTTGTTATAAATGTTGTATAAACGCAATAACACACTCATAGCATTGCCATATGGCTGTATATCGGAACTAGTGGGGGGCAAGCACTCGGCCTGCTGCCTCAAGCCAACACACGCCTCTCACCAGTGCCGATATACAGCCATATTGCACAACTACTCATGTGATATTGCTCATATTATATTATTGTATGTATTCAAGTGAAATGCAATTTTAAAATGGAACTTATTCTGTACAATACTAACTACACTTTGTACAAATTGAAAATAACGATCCTACCATTATAAGAGCCTTTCTGCATGAAATAAGAAAAAGATGCAAACAAATCTCTTCATCTTTTTTAGACTACAATACCTATTTTTCCAATTCTAACCAAATGTCAATTTCTTAATTAAAAAAAGCTCAAATTTTCGGCTTAGTCACTTTATTAATCGGGGGTCGCCACAGCGGAATGAAACGCCAACTAATCCAATATATGTTTTACGCAGCGGATGCCCTTCCAGCTGCAAATAATCACAATAATATTTTACTAGATATTTTTCAAGACACTTCTACACAGCTTAAAGTCACATTTAATGGCTTAACTAGGTTAATTAGGTTAACTAGACAGGTTAGGGTAATTAGGCAAGTTATTGTATAACAGTGGTTTGTTTTGTAGATTATCGAGAAAAAATATAGCTTAACGGGGCTAATATTTTTGTCCCTAAAATGTGGTTTAAAAAATTTATACATTTATAAATTCTTTTATTCTAGGCGAAATAAAACAAATAAGACTTTCTTTAGAAGAAAAAATATTATCAGACATACTGTGAAAATTTCCTTGCTCTGTTAAACATCATTTGGAAAATATTTTAAAAAGAAGAAAAAAATTTAAAGGGGGCTATTAATTCTGACTTCAACTGTACACTACAGGCAATTTTAGCTTACCCAATTCATCTATACCACATGTTTTAGGACTTGTGGGGGATACCACAGCACCTGGAAAAAACCCATGTGAACACGGGGAAAACATGCAAACTCCACACAGAAATTCCAACTGACCCAGCCAAGGCTCGAACCAGCGACCTTCTTGCTGTGAGGCAATTGTGCTACCCACAATAATGTAATAATGCACTTCTCTCAAGTCATAATTTGTCCATAGTACTGCATTATTTTATATTGTAAAATGTATATTGTTGTTCTTTGATTACATCTGTTGTCAGCATTTATGGTCATTTTGGATAAAATAATATGCTAAATGACCTAACATAAATGCCAAAACATGAGCATGTTCTAAAAGCAGAAATGTGTAAGAGAGTAAGAGCAATAAAAAAATGTAGTTCAACTCAACGAACCAGTTAAAACAGTAAGATGATGACAAATAAAGCTTCAACAGCTTTATTGTACACCCTAAATGCCTCCTTCTGCCTGGAAACCTGCCATGTCCAAACTTTCTCCATGCGCAGCAGACACATGACATAACCAGCAGCGAACAGACCCTTTTCACTGCCTCCGTGTCGGTTTCCATTGCAACCTCCTCACTGTCGCCTGCCTTTTTTTTTCAGTCGTCTCCGGGAATAATCACACTCTAATTACAGTCATCGCACTCAAATATAGACTCGGCTGCGCTTTCTTCTATCCCACGATTCCTCGAGCTCTACACTGTACAACCATAAAACCGAGCCTCGGGGAAATGAATGAGTGCTAATATAAAATCTATCAGGCAGTTTGAATTATCAGACATGATACATTTGCTTCCCACTTGGTGGTAAATGATATGCCTTAAGAACTCTGCACTTTGTCACTC